AGAGTGCCCTCTCCGGGTCAGGGAGGAGGTCCTACCCCAAGTGGAGGAGTTCAAGTATCTTGGGGTCTTGTTCATGAATGAGGGAAAAATGGAACGTGAGATCGATAGGCGGATAGGTGCAGCATCTGCAGTGAGGCGGGCGCTGTACCGGTCTGTCGTGGTGAAGAGAGAGCTGAGTCAAAAGGCGAAGCTCTCAATTTACCGATCGATCTATGTTCCCACCCTCATCTATGGTCATGAGCTTTGGGTTGTGACTAAAAGAATGAGATCTCGGATACAAGCGGCCAAAATGAGTTTTATCCGCAGGGTGTCTGGGCTCTCCCTTAGAGACAGGGTGAGAAGCTCAATCATCCGGGAGGGACTCGGAGTAGAGCCGCTGCTTCTCCACATCGAGAGGAGCCAGTTGAGGTGGCTTGGGCATCTGTTTAGGATGCCTCCTGGACGCCTCCCTGGTGAGGTGTTCCGGACACGTCCCACCGGGAGGATGCCCAGAGGAAGACCCAGGACACGCTGGAGGGACTATGTTTCTTGGCTGGCCTGGGAACGCCTCCGGATTCCCCCGGAAGAGCTGGCCCAAGTGGCTGGGGAGAGGGAAGTCTGGGCCGAGCCTTTCTGGGTGGAGTTTGCATGTTCTCTCCGTGCATGTGTGGATTTTCTCCAGGTACTCCAGTTTCCTCCCACAGACTAAAAACATGCATGTTAGTCTGATTGGTAACACTAAATTGTCTCTAAGTGTGAGTGAGAGAGTGAATGGTTGTTTGTCTCGTTTGTCTCTATGTGTCCCTGTGATGGACTGGAGACCTGTCCAGGGTGTACCCCGCTCCTCGCACAGTGATTGCTGGACATGGGCACCGGCGACCCCCGTGACCCAAAATGGAAGAAGTGGGTAAAAGATAATGGATGGGCGGCTGTGGCTGAGTGGTAAGAGCAGTTGTCCTCCAATGCGAGAGTTGGGGGTTCAAATCCACCAGCAGTCACATGCTGAAGTGTCCCTGGGCAAGACACTGAACCCCTCACAGCCTCTGATGTGTGTCCCATCAGTGTATGAATGTGATAAAGCTCTGATTAGTCTCATTAGAATGATTTGTTCAATTAGCTTTGTAGAGATCTAGTAGAGCTGTATGACTGGGTCAATGAGGCACAGATTGTTGTAAAGCTCTTTGAGTATCTTGAAATAAGATAGAAAGGCGCTATATAAGTACAGTCCATTTACCATTTACCATTTACCATATGGATGGATGGATAGATGGATGGATGGATTTTTTTTGCCTGAATGGCAGGGGGCAATGGTTAATAATTAAAAATAAGCAAATTTGCCATCTTTGAATTCTAAAACAATATTAAAAGGCTTGACTGATTTATTTTAGCTAGAACTCAACACCTTGACTGAGCCCAGAGGAATGAGCAACAAATATCAGACAGTAGCTCCTTCTCAAAAAAGCACTGATGTACTCAATCTTTGTGTTCTTTATCTCGCCTTATGTTGCATTTTTACAACCAAGGAATTAATCATGGCGCATGCATAGTTTATCCAAAATTATGGACTCCAAAGCAGCTACTGAAGGACCAAGAGGACTTTCAGAGTTGAGCTAAAACCATAACTTGTCTTTAAGGTTTGCTTTTACTAAGGCAAATGTTTATGTTTGCATAAATTCAGTCTTGATCAACACACAATCCTATTATTGTACATTATTTACTAAGATTATATTAGCATTTGGTTTGATATATGAGAAGTTTTGTTGGAAACATAATCCTTGTTTTTTAATCTCACTGGGCTGTGACTGTAAACTGTGAATGGCGTTCAACGAAAGTTTCCAAAATGTTTAGAAACACTTGTAAGGGTTCGCAATTTTCTTGTGTGGGTCAAAGAGATTTGGCCTCATGTGGGAAAAAAAATTGAAGATGTTTAAAAAAAAATAGCGCAACAAATTGCAGAAAGGGAAAGAAATGTGAGGAACTTTTAGAGGAGTTAGTAAGAATCTAAACTGACTGACTGGAGACAGCAAAGGGAAGTGGACACTGGCTCTGTGTTCCACAGCCATTCATGAACACAGCAGGCCAGCCTGCTCCTCATCCAGCAGCTTCTGCATCTTCTCTAGTTGGCTTCACGACTCATGACAAAACCACTGGAATCAGGAGAGGCCCAATATTTACATGGGTGGTCCAGATTTCCCACCACTGTTGCATGACGTTCACGCAGCATCACAAGTGTCCCAAAACCATAATGTCATGGTAATGCCATTAACAGTGGTCTGATTTTTATGCTGATTACTGACAAATTTAGCCCACATGTTGCCAGGAGTTTGAACAATATATGACACAAACATGTCAGTGCAGCATGATCCTAAATGAAAATGTTTATTTTCTCACAGTTTGTTGCAGTCCACTGAGATTCAGCCTTAATATGTTACAGAACAATACTTGACTTTTATTCTTTATAAAAAGCTTTTGACATTGTGGACTATGACATCTTATGTCATACGATCTCAGAAATTGGTTTCTCAGATCACACCACTGATTGGTTCACTAACTATCTCTCAGATTGGAGGTAATTTGTTCAACATAATGGTACTTCTTTCAGCTATTTGTTAACAATGGTGTACCTCAAGGTTCAGTCTTAGGAGCCACCCTCTTCACAATCTACATAAACAATGTAGCTCAGTTCATCCATGATGCATCCTTATATTATTATGCTGATGACACAGTTGTTTATTGTCGAGCTCGAACAGTTGTTAAGGTTTTCCAGCTTTTACAGTCTGTGTTCAACATCATCCAGACTGATTTGTTCTCAGACTTGTCCTAAATGCAGATAAAACCAAAGGGATGCTGTTTTCAAATGGGAAGTCGGTACCAGCATCCTTCCTTCTATTTTATCTTCGAATGGTGTCTCTATTAAGTTTGTCGATTCTTATAAATACTTGGTTATTTTGGTTGATTTGCATCTCCCTTTTAAGCTCCATGTCAAAAACTTGATAAAGAAACTGAAAGTTAAACTGGGTTTCTTTTTCAGAAACAGATCCTGTCTAACTCTGAATGCTAGGAAACACCTTGTAACTGTGACTTTCCTTCCCTCCGTTGACCATGGTGACATTACATGAACGCCCCTACAAGCACCCTGCAGTTGTTGGATGCTGCAGATGTTGGATGCTGTCTATCACGGTGCACTAAAATTCATTACTGGCTGTGATTATCGTACCCATCACTGCACCCAGTATGCACTGGTTAACTGGTCACCATTAACTTCACACAGACTCTCACTGGTACATTTTCATCTTTAAATCACTTCTTGGTCTGCTGCCTTCATACATCTCCTCATACATGTCAGTGTGTGAGTGCAGCTACAGCGTGCGCTCTCAGGACATTATTACCTGCAGTGTTCCCTCACTTCAGACCAAATTAGGCAAAAGGACCTTCTCCTACTCCGCTCCTGTTTCCTGGAATATCTTACAAAAAGATCTGAATCTCTCGACTTTGACCTCTCTAAGTGGCTTCAAACAGCTGTCCAGTTCCTGGGAAAAACCAGCACAGACATCCTGATGCTGCTCAGTAATCCAGGTAGAAAAATCTAAAAAAGTTAAGTCTGGTCCTCTGGACACAGACATGTTCCTGTTTTTAGTATTTTATATCGCTTTACAATCTAGCTGTTTTAGTTTAGTTTTTATTTAATTTCTTCTATTTAATTTTTCATTTTATATGCTTTTTATATGATTGTCTATTGTTGTCTGTACCTCATCTGTGTTCTTTGTTAAAAACAGGTCTTTCTTGTAAATAAGTCCTTGAGGCTCAATAAGACTAACCTGTAGAAATAAAGGTCGAATGAAAATTTTTAATCTGTTTACTTAGCCGCTTCCCTGATTTATTTTTACATATGTCTGCAGCATTAAGCATGTTAGTAAGAACTCCTTGAATGCTCCCCGCCTGGATGTAATTTCATTTGGTCAATAAACTGTAATCTGTGTTCGGGTTGATCAACATGTCTGGGTGAGCGCAGTGTGAGCTTACCATAATATCTGCTATTATTGCTGTACCTAATCCTGATAACTGTCACCCGCACTCAGTCAGATTACATGACAGATTATGGACATGTGCCCGTAGACGTGCACACAGTGTGATGCATCACAGATATATACAGGAACTCCACATCACTGTTTGAACCCAATTCATGCTGCACATCTCCAGCACCTTGTTAACGAACTGCATTATTCTGTGCATTTTGTCCAGCAGTGCGGGGTGAACGAGCGCTTCTCTGACGAGCAGCTGGTGAGTCTGTCCGTGCGCGAGCTCAACCGACACCTGCGCGGAGTGGGCAAAGACGAAGTGGTGCGCCTGAAGCAGAAGCGGCGCACGCTCAAGAACCGTGGCTACGCCCAGTCCTGCCGCTACAAGCGCCTGCAGCACCGCCACGCCCTGGAGTCAGAGAAACACCTGCTCACACAACAGGTAACACGCACGTGCACTGAAGGAGCTTTCTTTTTGTTCAGGAGACATCACTCTAGCAGAAGTAATCAAATCAGCTCTGGTTTTTAACTGTCTGACTCTGCCATTGGCGTCAGAAGCCTATATAATGTGGGGCGTGAACAGATTGATGGCTGGACTGGAGGGTCCTCCCCCAGAAAATTTTGAATAAAATACCAGTAGATGCCATGTCCTGCATTCTGGTGTATTTTAATGGGTTGTTTAACATCTACTGGTAGTTTTACCTACATAAATAAACACATGATTCAATAACTATTTTAGAGAGCAACAAGAAGTAGCCTGACCAACAGTCCCCCTTGTGTGAATAGAGCATGCTTCGCTTCTTTTCCTAATGGAGATACACTGATGGACTCTGCTGACTTTCTTGCTGAATGTGTCAAACAAAGTGGACCTTTTCTGCACAACCAATAAAATGCTAACATGTGTCCCCACAGCTGGAACAGCTGCAGTGTGAACTGACTCGTGTGCTGAGGGAGAGAGACGCCTACAAAGCTCGCTATGAGAAACTCCTCAGCACAAACCAGAGTTCTGCCAACGAGGCCCCTCAGACTCGCACCAGCAACCCTCCTTCTCCACCCCCGGACTACTTCCTCTGAGCTTAACCCACAAGGAAAAATGATCAGACTTGTGTATCAGTATGTGGCACACATGCTTGTGTGTGGGGGGGAGGAACTAAAGAGAAACATTGACAAATATGTTTTATGCATATCCAATTATGAAAATCACTTTTTGGTTGAAGGAGATCAGTGTAAAGGCATGGTTTGGGACTCAATGATCGGAGCTTTGTGATTTTACATTTACAATCCCAATTCTGAAGAAGTTGAAAGCAAGTCATTTTGAATTTGATGGCAGCAGCACATCTCTCAAATGTTGGTATGGGTCCATGTTTCCCACTGGAAGAGCCCCTTCTTTTAACAATGGTCTGTAGAGGTCTAAGAATTGGAGGATTTTGGAGGGGGTTGTTGTACCATGCTGGTCTGATGTAGGATTCTGGCTGTTCAACAGTCGTGGGTCTTCTGCACCAAATGTTTCCAGTTGGTGAGAGGTCTGGACTGCAGTCAGGCCAGTTCAGTACCTGGACACTTCTATACTATGCTATTGTAATGGATGCAGTGTGCCGTTTTGAGCATGTCTTGCTGAAATATGCTTCCCTGAATAGGATGTTCTCTGGATGGAAACATGTTTTCAGATTCATTAGCTGCCCATTATATAATGCACCCCTGGAGAGGCAGGCTTTAACAGGTGGGGTGGTCTCTCCTTCAGTACAGAGAACACGCTAGTTTCTAAAATGAAATTCAAATTTAGATTTGTCTGCAATTGTGGCTGACATGGTGAACTGATGTCCACAACAGAGTAAAATCTGTTTTTAATGCAGCGTAGCCTGAGGGCCTGAATATCATGGGCATCAAATTTAGACGTTCAGTCTGGTTCTACACTCACATGCATTTCTCCAGACATTTGAAATCTTTTTTATGTTATTATGTTATTAAATGGAAAATTTGCAGTCTTTCATAAACCTTGATACAAACCTTTGTTCTTAACCATTTTGGCCAGGTGTCCTCAGGTTGTTACTGTGAGTAGCAAGTTGGTCATCAGACCTAAAACATTTAATTGTCATACAGTAGTTCCTCGCTACATCGCAGTTCGTTTTTCGCGGACTCGCTCTATCGCGGTTTTTCAAAGTAGGATTGGACATGACACACAATGGCCGATTGATGGATGAGCCGCATGACTGGCATGGAATTTTTATTTAAAAATAAATTATTTAAAAATATTTAGCCCCAGTGTGCAGCCCAAGCTGCAGGAGAAGCTTCTTCATGCAGAGTGTCATATCTCCGCTCTGCAGTGGAGAAGTGGGCATGGCCGAGAGCGCCGGCAGGTGGCAGAGAGCAGCTGGAGGGAGAGAGCTGAACTCATGTCACGCTGTGCTCTTTTAGAGCATTTAGAGTTTAGAAACATTGTTTAGAATATTGCAAGAGTGTTGGAAAGATTTAAAACGCTTTAATACATGCACACATACATATATACGATATATATATATATATATACATATATATATATATATATATATATATATATATATATATATATATACTACAATAAACTACTACTACTTACACTACTCCTCCCACTTTGCAGTTTTTCACTCATCGCAGGGCTTCAGGGTGGATCCCCTGCGATGAGTGAGGGACTACTCTACATGATGCTTGATTGTTTGATGGATGGTCTTCTTTTTACAAGTGTAACACCAGTTTCTGTGAGTTCCACAGGGGGCTGGCTTGAAACACATGAAGGAGGTGCTATTTATGAAACAGATCTTGGTGGCAGGCCTCAGACTGATGAAGTCTTTCAGATGAAAGACGAAACGTTCCTCACAAACAGAAACTGTCCACATGTCCTGACTTAACCTTTTTTTTTTGCAATACTGTACAGTCTTTTCCATTTTCCACCGACAAGCATCATTCTGAAATAGTTGTGCTGTTTTCAGATGTAATTATTTTAGACTGGTGAACCTCTGCCCATCTTTACTTCTGAGAGATTTGGCTTCCCTAGAGTGTTCTTTCTTTACCAGTCATCTCACTGGTCTGCTGCCAGTTAACCTCATGAGCAGCACGATGCTCTTTCAGCTCTTTCTTATTTGCACCACTTCCCATTACCACTTTTTGTTACCTCAGTACCACTTTTCTAGAAGTGTTGATGCCATCAAATTCAAAATTACACATTTGTTAAACACTTGATGTGTTCGCTATGTTCATTTGTGAACAAGATATGGGTTCATGAGACATTTTATTTTATTTACATTTTAAACCATGTTGCAACTCTGTCAGAATTGGTGTTGTGCTTCATATGCACAGATCCTTTCAACCCTGCTCAGTGATCTCTGTAGGCCTACAACTATTATGGGTTGAAAATGCTTACTAATAGTCCCTCTCACTGCCAAGCTTGTTATCTATGAAACATTATGGTACACCTGCAATATACTCTCCAAATGAGTGGTTGAAGCTCAGTTTGTTTTTTATAAGAAGCTGCTAGCTGCAGAGGACCGAGTAGTGCAGTGGTGATACGTGGAGTGAAACGGATAGTGTTTGTGGCATGCAGTTCAGTATTTGCCAGCTAATATTTAAGACTTCACAGTTGCCTACCAAAGTGTTTTAAGCTCACCAATACTTGTTATTCTTCATTTAAAAAATGAATAATCATAGATAAAAGAATGTAAAAGGATGTCCCTTTCATGGGAATCTTCTAGTGATTGTGCTTCAGTGAGCAGTAGGGAAAATTACTCTTGTGTTTTAGCAAAGAAAAGTACTTTTTACTAGCTGATAACAAGTCGCTGACACTGACGGACTTGATGATTGCGTTCAACAATCAGTTCGAACGTTTGCTGCAGAGATGTTCTGAGTGTTTCAGAAAGGCAAGTCAGAAGGTGCAAAGAAAATAAATCAAGCATGGCATGATTACTGTATGTGTGTGGTTGTGACCAATTCTGCAGGACTTGAAACACTTCTGGGCAGATCAAACACCTCTGATCATATCTGATGCAACATGTGGCACCACAGAGTAGGTCACAGTGGACTGTGGTTCCACCAAAGAAAAAACAATACAGGGAATGAATAAATAAATCAATTATATATATATATATACATATATATATATATATATATATATGTATGTATATATATAAATTTGTGGAGACATTTTAACTGTCTCATGAAACATTTGCCAGGTTTTATTGCATTAGCGCTACTGATTTTGTTTAGATGTAGGTTGAATCAATTGTTCTTTTATTTATTTCCTTATTTATTCAGTATTTAATGTTTATTTATGTACCTCTAAAAATTTCACTGGTTTTATTCCAATTAGTGTGTATTTTTACTTTCCTACAGCTTATTCTTTTTCTTTTTTTTTGATCCAGTTGTGATTAGAATGAACCTGATTATAAAGCCAACCTCATGGTTTCCTGCTCCTTTTGTAGTGTGGTTTCAAATGGAATAAACAAAGTTCTCTGAAACCCATGTCATGGTGTCGGTGTGTTATTCTACACCTCTCGGTATCTGAGCATCTCTCACATCCAGTCTCCGGTAGACCTTTTCTCTGCAGCCACATGCCCAGCTCCATCCCTCTCTTTATCTCCATGCTTCTGTTGCAAAGCGTTGACCCAGGGTGTGTGCTGTTTGGGATGACCTCATCTTCAACATCGCCCCCCCTCTCTGTGTGTCCCTCTCTTCTCTGTATAATAGGAGTGGGATTAGGGGCTATAATGGTGCACTGGCTGCTCGCTGTCGGACTCTATTGTGGCTTTGTGAGGGGGGGGAGTGTGCACCGCTGCTCGTGGTCACACTGACATTCTGACACAAAAAGCATCCATCTTAGTTTAAGGGCTTTGAAAAGGCTTGATTTACCAAAACAGAGTTACAGAGGGAGACAACTCTGAGTGTTCTCAACAGATATATGTGATACACTTGCTGAGACAAACTGTCAGAACTCTGATCTACAAGAGTAAAACTCAAATGACATGTTTTAAACATGTGCTCTCCAGGAGCCTCACTTTCAATCAGGAAGGGACATTCTTGTGCTGCACTGCCCTCTACAGGCCATGCCACGCATCGCCTCCATCAGTGAGAATACAGAGAGCATCGTGACTCTATCACCGCCCAGTTTATTCAGAAACTGAGCTCCTGAGCTCCTGAGCTGCATTATCTACTTGAGAAAATACTTTTTAAAATTATTTTAGGGCAGGTTTTTTCTCTCTCTTCTGAGCAGGTTGTCCGGATCGAGAGCATGTGAGGTGCGAGTCACCCAGCAGTCAGTCAGAGGTGATGAAGTGTGGAGCTGGACACTGACCTGAGGAGAGAGACAACCCGAGCGAGAGACAGGCAGAGAGAGCAGGAAGGACAGAGAGAGGGGGAGCGCGCGCCTCGGACAGACCTGCTGACTTTGTAGTTGCCGACAGACACCTTAATAAGACAGGTGAGAACTCAAACCCGGATATGGTGGAGCTGGGTTATGGGGAGCAGGAGGGGGTGCTGGTGTTTTATGGACTCCTTATTTCCGATGGCTTTATTTCAGTTTGCAGATGCCGACAGATGTGCCTCAAGAAAAGCTCAACAACGAGGAGAATGCGACCGAGGTAAGGGACCACCGGGCCACAGGAGCCCAACAACCCCTCCTGTGTGTGTGTGTGTGTGTGTGTGTGCGCGCGCGCGCGCGCGCGTGTGTGTGTAGTCTTGTATTTCTGGCTCTGTGGGGACTTTGCAGTGACTTCCATTAATTTCTATAGCCTTACCTTAACCCTAACCATTACTAGTACATACCTAACCTTAACCATTACTA